GGAACTGCTCCGAGTTTAACAGACGCTGAGCTGCTTACACTCGGTGGCTCCCCCTCCCTCTTGGAGCGATGGGCTCAGGCTCCCGGCAAACTCAGGCAGGCGTCGGCTGTGCCTCTTTCCTGGTTTTGAGCAGTTCGTCGCGGCCCGAACAGTGAGACACTTCATTTTTCATTTCGAGTTGTCCTGAGATTTTGCACACTGAGGAGGCGTTTGGCGGGCAGGCAGGGGCAGTGGGTGGGTGCACACGGGCTGTATCTCAGCCTTGATCTCCTCCCCCGGGGGTCTCTGACTGACCCACCCTGCGGCCCTGTTGCTGCTTTATCTCTGGTCAGCGTCAGGGATTTTTTTTGGCTGTAGGTTGTTACTTTTCTCCCCTTTCTAGCATTGGCAGATGAATCCGCACCAGCCCCAGGGGGCACCCCCAGTCCAGCCCCATGCAGCAGCCAGTCACAGCCAGTCCTGTGCTCGGATCCCAGGTCCTCTGCTTCCTGCCGCCCCGGAGGAGGGGACCTGGCGCGCCGCCGGCCGAAGAAGCCTGCTCGGTCGAAGAGACGGAAATCCATGGGAGACAGAGGTGGTTAAAGTGCAGAGTTGGGAGCCAGGACTCCTGGGTACAATCCCTGGCATCAGGAGGGGAGTGGGGTCCAGTGGTTAGAGCAGGGGAAGAGGGGGCTGGGAACCAGGATTCCTGGCTTCTATCCCTGACTCTGGGAGGGGAGTGGGGTCTAGTGGTTAGAGCAGGTGGGCTGGGAGCCAGGACTCCTAGGTTCTAGTCCTAGCACCGGGAGGAGAGTGGGGTCTAGTGGTTAGAACAGGACTCCTAGGTTCTAGGGGTTGAGCTGGCTCCAATCTTGTAGGTCCCATGTGCCTCTGCTTCTGATCTCTTGGTGTCTCTCCCCAGGTGTGGCTGCCACCCTCGCCCCCTTTCTGGGGCATGTCCTGCACCCCTTCCCCCTGGGCCTGGGGCTGCCCAGGTTGCTGGAGGCCGTGCGACGGGACCATGACCTGGACCTGGTGGCGCTGAGCCGGGAAGCAGGGTATGAAGATGTGCTGGGGCTGCTGGGGCAGGTGCCCGGGATCTGGCTTCACAAGTCATCGAGAGGCAGCCCATACACCGTGCATCTCCAGGCAGGTGGGTGGGGACGGGAGATTTTTGCCCCTCTCCCTTCTACACCGAGTCTGTGGCCCTCTGGATCCACCCACCTGCTGTTCGCCCCCCCAGCTCAGGCTCCCAGCAAACTCAGGCAGGTGTCAGCTGTGCCTGTTTCATGTTTTTGAGCAGTTTGTTGCGGCCCAAATGGTGAGATGTAATTTTTTGTTTCGAGGAGTGCTGAGATTCTGCACGCTGAGGACGACGTTTGGCAGGCAGGCGGGGGCAGTGGGTGGGTGCACACCGGCTGTATCTCGCCTTGATCTTCCCCCGGGGGTGTCTGACCCACCCTGCGGCCCTGTTGCTGCTTTATCTCTGGTCAGTGCTAGTGATTTCTTTTTTGGCTGTAAATTCTGTTACTTTTCTCCCCTTTCTAGCATTGGCAGATGAATCCGCACCAGCCCCGGGGGGCCCTCCCAGTCCAGCGCCATGCAACAGCCAGTCACAGCCAGCCCCGCACTCGGATCCCAGGTTCTCTGCCTCCTGCCGCCCCGGAAGAGGGGACCTGGCACGCCAACAGCCGAAGAAGCCTGCTCGGTCGAAGAGACGGAAATCCATGGGAGACAGAGGTGATTAAAGTGCAGAGTTGGGAGCCAGGACTCCTGGGTTCTAGCCCTGGCACCGGGAGGGGAGTGGGGTCCAGTGGTTAGAGCAGGGGAAGAGTGGCTGGGAGCCAGGACTCCTGGGTTCTAGCCCTGGTGCTGGGAGGGGAGTGGGGTCTAGTGGTTAGACCAGGACTCCTAGGTTCTAGGGTTTGAGCTGGCTGCAATCTCCAGGGTCCCATGTGCCTCTGCTTCTGATCTCTTGGTGTGTCTGTCCTCAGGTGTGGCTGCCACCCTCGCCCCCTTTCTGTGGAATATCCTGCGCCCCTTCCCCCTGGGCCTAGGGCTGCCCAAGTTGCTGGAGGCCGTGCGGCGGGACCACGACCTGGACCTGGTGGTGCTGAGCCGGGAAGCAGGGTATGAAGACGTGCTGGGGCTGCTGGGGCAGGTGCCCGGGATCTGGCTTCACAAGTCGTCGCGAGGCAGCCCATACACCGTGCACCTCCACGCAGGTGGGTGGGGGCAGGAGATTTTTGCCCCCCTCCCTTCTACACCGAGTCTGTGGCCCTCTGGATCCACCCACCCGCTGTCAGCCCCCCCAGCTCAGGCTCCCAGCAAACTCAGGCAGGCGTCGGCTGCGCCCGTGTCGTGTTTCCGAGGAGTTTGTCGTGGCGTGTGTTACGCAGGAGGTCAGACCAGATGATCACCATGGGCCTATCTGGCCTGGCAACCTGGTTCCTCCTTCTCTGGAGGTGGGGTGTGAAGCTGGCTGGGTTTTCATCAAAAGGGATTTTGATCCCCCGCTCCCTGAAAACAAAAACGCTTCGGAAAACGCATGTCTGACTTGGATGAAATTTCATTTAGGGGGGAGGGAAAACTTGGTGCTTTGGGAGCAGAATCTTTTGATTTTTCTCCCCCCCCCCCCCAATTCATTGTTTGCTATCAGCTTTTTTTACAAGAGAGGTCAAACAAGGCACTCAACGGCTGCCATTTTTCCTGCAAACGTTTTTCCTCCCAAGACCAGGGCCTGGTCGGTCAAAACACTTGGTTATGATAAAAATCCAAACACAGGAGGGCCAAGTTTTGACTCCCTCTTTTTTCAAAAAATAAAAAACCCTTTTGTGTATTTAAAAAACTATAGTTTTGGAGGAAGTTGTGAAAAATGTTTCAGAACAGCTGAAACTTCAAAGCCGTGGCATTTCCTGTAATATGGAAAACCCACCTCCCCTGGCTCTAGTTGTGTGTTCGATCCCTGCTCATGCCCCAAGGGGGTGGGGGGGTGGCCAGGGCTTATGAAAGTGGGGACAGTTGTACCAGGGCTTTGGGCCCCCCACAACTTGCCTGTAATTGGAGTGAAATGGGTGGGGCCTCAGCAAATGTGCCCCTATACTTCTCTCAACGAGCCCTGCGTGAGACCCAAACGGCTCTGAAACGTGTGTCTGCTGCCGGTATCAGTAGTAGGTTGTTACCCTGTGGAAAGTAGACATTAGCTCTGGTGCCTCTTGTTTTACACTGTCTGAGAGTCGCTCCGGTCAAGAGAACAGGGTGGCATCAACTCCTTTGGGGAGTGGAGGCCCCGGGGGTCCAGAGCGAGTGGACTCCCTGAGGGGGCCCACGTCGAGAGACAGACGTGCTAAGGCTCAGAGAGGTGCGGCTCCAGGAGGTGGTGGGGCCTGACCCCGAGAGAGAGTGGACCCTCGAGAAGGGCTGTCGCACTGAAAGGGGCACCCCCCACGGACCGCACGGGGCCAAGAGTGGGCACGATCTGTGAGTCCGTGACACTTCTAAGGTGGCAAGAGCCCAGAAGCGCTTAGTGGGTGGGGGAGGGGCCTGTGGTCCCATTTGTGGGGTCCCCCTGAGTCCACCTCCCCATTTTTCTTCTCTGCAGCCCCGTGGACCCCAACTCCTGCTGACTTTCCTGCGGGGGGAGTGCTGCCCCCAAGCTGGGAATGCGGGAGGGAGCCGAGAGGCCGGACGGAGCAAGTCTGACGCAAAGGCGAGGGTCCCTGAGCTCCCACCCTGTCTCTCTCCGTGTGGGGGGAGGGGCCTAGGGGTTACCACTGCAGGGGGGTCTCCTCCCACCTCCCATTGGCAGCCCTGCGGTTTCTCTGATGGCGGGGGGGGAGAATGTGAAGGCATCTTTCCCTTCTGCCCCACAGAGGCCCAGAGCAGTGGGGCTGGGAGTGAAGGCCCCACCCCTATAGCAAGTTCCCCAGTGGGGAGCAATTGGCTCAAGCTCCCTCAGACCCCAGCAAGGGTCAGTCACGTTTCTCCCTGCCCCACCCCTCAATCTTTCTCCCAAGCCTCAGAGGTCAGGAGGTGCCTTGTTAATTGACAGTGGAGGCCCAACAAAGGTCTCATGACTCCAGGAGCTGGGGCTCTAGGCCCTGATGGGGCCCCTGCTCCACAGTCCCAAACCAGCAGGTGGAGGGTAAATGCGGCAAGGAAACAAAACTCCCTCTTTCAACTGGAATAGACAATTTGTTTTGGTGTTTTGTACATAATTATCATCCCTCATCAGCGTGCAACCTGGCAACAGAACCCAGGTTCCCAGACCCCCCCCTGCTCTACCCACTGGACCCCCCATCCCTGAGCAGGGGGTTAGAACCCAGGAGTCCTGGCTCCCAGCCTATTCCTGCTCTAACCCCTAGACCCCATTAAAACCCAGTTCTTCTCCCAGTTGCTTGGGCTCCGGCTCCTTCACAGCGCTACTCCCCAGCCCTCTGGTGTGGCACTGGAATCCCAGTTCATCCCAGTATAGCCACCAGCCCTGCCTGGAAATGCCCCGGGGGCTTCCCCTAACCCCCTCTCCCAAAGCCAGTCCCATTGTCCCAGCTGCTCCCAGTAACGCTCCAGCACCCCCGTAGCTGCCAGGTTCCAGTCCAGTTCACCCCTGAGGCGTGGGAGGAAATCTACGCTCCCAGATCATGCCAGCTTAATCAGCGCCCCCCCTCCCCCCCACACACACATTAGCTCCAGCAGTGCCGTGGAGGGGGGGCATGCCCGGTGCCTGCCAGCCCTGTGCCCCGAGTGGAGCTGAGCTGCCCAAAATCATCCTCCACCTCCCAGTTTCGTGTCCCAGTATAATCCGTACTCGCCCACTCGCAGGGCTGCAAAGCACCGAGCCCTGGCCCCCGCCAGGCCCCCCAGTTCCTCCCAGTAACACCGTTACCGTGGCGCCCAGGGCCGGGTTGATTCCAATGACTTCCTAGCCTCGGCTTTTCAACCCCAGTTAAACCCCGGGCTGAAAACAAGGCCCGGAGCGTTCAGGGCGTTCCCGTATAGCCCATACGCCGGCTCCGCTTCCTCCCAGTAACACCAATATAACTGCCTCCTGCTCACACGCTGGGTCCGGTGTAACCTACTGGCCTGCCCCAGTTGGGAGCAGCCTGGGGAGATGGGGGGGGGTCTCATTCCCCTCCCCTCGGCCCGCTGATACTGGTAGGCGCCCGTTCAATAGCGACGCTCCCTGCTGTAGCCGTGGGGGGCCCCCCAGACGCGGGGCAGGGCGGTAGGCCCGTGGTAGAGCTGCCCCTGCAGCCGGCCCAAGGCCCGGTAGCCCTGCGGCGGGGGCATGTAGGCGGGCGACAGGAAGATGAGGGGCTGGCGGGGCTCCTCGCTGGCAGGGGGCACGCCCCTCCGCCGCATCAGCGCCCGGGCTGGCGTGTCCTGCGTGCCCCACTTGTGCTTGCCCTGGGGAGAGGGATGGGGGGCAGCCCCCCAAGGGAGAGTTAGTACCATCTGGGAGCACCCCTGTACCCCTTGCCTGTCTCCCCACCCAGTGCCCCCTGCCCCCCAGCCCAGCATCCTCTGCCCCATCATCCCACCCCAGAGCCTCTCTGACCCCCAAACCTCTCCCCCTGCCATGCCCCCCTCAGGGCTCTCTTGCCCATGTCCCAGCAGCTCCACCTACCCCCCAAATCCTTCCAACCCTGTACCCCCATCTCCCCAGCCCAGCCCCCACCCTCTTACCCCCCCCATCTTCCCACCAAATGGGTCCCTGCGCCCCCCTGTATATCCCCCATCCCTGAATTCCCCCCCCACAGATCTTCCTGGGGGGGTCCCTGCCACGACCCCCCGCTCCAGCATTTCTTCACCCTGCCCCAGGGTCCCTCAGCACAGAGGGTTTGGGGGGGGGCAGGATCCCGCAGTGCCATGCCACCTCTGCCCCGCCCCCAGCCCCAATGGCAGCAAAGGAGAAAGGGAGGATGGCGAAGAGCCAGGGGACGAGGGAGGGAAGGGAAAGACGGGAGGGAAGGAGACACTGGAGCAGGGGAGACGCAGCTGGGAATTCAGGGGGTGGCAGGGCCTGGGGGAGCGGCGCTGCTCCCCCTCTGCCCCACAGCTCGCCCAAGGAGGGCAAAGGCCCCGTGGGGCAGAGCCGGGAGCGGCACCTGGGTCAATATTGACCCAGGGCGGAGGAGATGTTGCACTAAGGCAGGGCCCAGGGTGCAGCTGGGACTGGAGATGCAGGGGGGGCATCACGCCACCCCCAGCCCCGCCTGGGACGCATGGGAGTGGGGCAATCTCCGGCCCTGGGCCCCCAGGTCTGCCCCCTCCCTGGGATACACAGGAGCCCTGATCCCCAGCCCCCACCTTGGGATACACAGTCCCTCCAAATCCCAAACCTGGGATACACAGGGGACCCCCATATCCTAAAGCCCTGCCCCCTCCCCCAGGATACACAGGGCCCCCAAATCCCCAGCCCTGCCCCCCAGGATATACAGTGAACCCCCCAAATCCCCAGCCCTGCCCCCCAGGATTCACAGCCCACCCCCCTCCCGCTCCCTGGCCTGGCACTGCCCGCTCACCTTCGCCTCGTCCCCCGGCTCGGGGCCATCGCTGGAGCCGGAGAGCTGGGAGAGGCGGCTCAGGTCCCAGAGGGACTTGCTGGGTCTCTGCCCCGCGGCGCCCGCCAGCCGGCCTGGGCGGCTGCCCCGGTCCACGTCGCTCAGGGCGCTGTGGCCCTCGGGGCCCAGGCGCCGGGGCAGGGCGGGCAGCTCGTCGCCCACCGTGGCCCGGGTGACCCGCACCAGCTCCCACTCCCCGGCCCGGCTCTTGGCCACGGGCTGGGGGGCCACGGAGCGGCGCTCGACCACCCGGTGGGCGCCCTTGGAGAGCTGCAGCCCGCCCAGCTCGCTGCGGTAGGGGGCGGGCTGGCCGTTGGGGCGGCCGTCCCGAGGAGGGGCCGGGGGGCTGGGCGGGGGGGGCCCGGGCGGGCGCCAGCGGGCGGGAGGCAGCGTAGAGGGTCCGGAACTCGCGGTCGAAGGCCCCGGCGATCTCGCCCGTCAGCAACGTCACCAGCTGGCGGCTCAGCCGGGCGTCGCTCCATGTGAAGCTGCGGAGGGGGTGGGGGGATAGTGGGGTGCAGGAGGGAGAGGGGAAGGAGGATAGCAAGATGTGCAAGGCCAGGGAGGAGAGTGGGGTGCAGCAGGGAGGGTGGGAGAACAATGGGGTGCAGGGGTGAGTGGGGGGATATCGGGGTGCAGGAGGGGTGGGGAAGGTTCAAGTGGGGTGCAGGAAGGGTGAGGGGGGATAATGGGTGCAAAAGGGGTGAATGGGGGATAATGGGGTGCAGGCGGGATGGTGGAGGGGTGAATGGGGGATGGTGGGGTGCAAGTGAGGACAGTGGTGGGGGAGGGGCGAGTGGAGTGCAGGGGGATGGGAGAGGGACCAGAGGATAGCGGAGTGGGGGGGCGGGGTGAGTGGGGGAGGGGCAAGTGGGGTGCAGGGGGACGGGAGACAGGGAGAGAATGAGAAAAATTAAATGTTCTGAACGAACAAAATTGAAACGTACCCAAGGAAAATAAAATGCTGGGAAATGGGGGACCCTGAACGCCCCCCCCCCGGGGCAAACGGCACCTTCCCCGCAGGACAGCGTCCGCTCAGGGGAGTGTGAACAGCGACGTCGCACCCCGCTGCCCGGTGCTGAGGGGCGACCACCTGGTTCTACCGGGACCCCCTGCCCAGCGCTGCGCTCTCCTTGTCCCTACGCACTGAGGCCACGAGGCAGGGGGCACTTAGGGAAGCGGACGGCCACAGGCCCAGCTGAGATTGGGGATCCCCCCACTCCCCTTCCCAGCCCCCATGACTCTGCGTGCACCCCCGGACACCTGGGTCCTATTCCCAGTTTCCAATACCTCCTGCATGACTCTACATTCACTCCCGGATGCCTGGGTTCCATTCCCAGTTTGCCATCCCCCCCAACTCCCCTTCTCATCCCCCATGACTCTGCGTGCACCCCCGGACGCCTGGGTCCTATTCCCATTTCCAATCCCCCCTGCATGAGTCTGCATTCACACCTGGACACCTGGGTCCTATTCCCAGTTCTCACTTCCTGCTGTCCTGTCCCCCCGCCTCGTTTAATCCACCCCAACTCTGCTGACTCCTCACCCGGATCCCCATGGCACCCAGGTCCCCCACAACCTGCGGGGCTGGGGACCCCAGGACCCCTAGCTCGGCGCAGAGACAACCACACCAGCCGTCGCCCTGTGCCAGGGCTTTATTCCTCCAACGCCTCTTCACGCGCACACACACACACCCGCCCCAGTCTCTCACAGTGCCCCCAGCAGGACAGCCATGCCCAGCACCAGCTGCAAGCCCATGCCGGGTCCTCGCGGGCGGGCGCTGGCCCCGTTACACAGGCTGCCCTTGCAGCACTGGGTGACCAGGCTGTAGGTCACCCCCATGTGGGTGACGGGGTGCTCCTTGCCGCAGCGCATGGCCCGGGTGCAGCCCTTGGTCTGGATGAGGGAGACGCCCAGGGCGGCGCCGTGCCCCACGAAGCAATCCTCGTCCGGGGCGCAGCTCATGCGGGTGCTGGGGCAGTGGCGGGAGGATGTCATCTCGCAGAAGAAGCACTCCTTGGGGCTGGCGCCGGGCAGCGCCAACACGAGAGAGAGCGCCAGCAGGGGCAGCATGTGAGCAGCAGGGGGATCACACAGATGGGGAGAGCAGAACCGGAGGCTGGATCCGGGCTGCTCCAGGGACGTCAGAACCAGGTCCCGGCCCTCCTGCTCCAGCAACTTCAGAACCAGAGTCTGGATCCGGGCCGCTCCGAGGACGTCAGAACCAGGTCCCAGCCCTCCTGCTCCAGCGACTTTAGAACCAGGGTCTGGATCCGGGCCACGCCGGGGACGTTAGAACCAGGTCCCAGCCCTCCTGCTCCAGCGACTTCAGAACCAGGGTCTGGATCCAGGCTGCTCCGGGGACATCAGAATCAGGTCCCAGCCCTCCTGACCCAGCAACTTCAGAACTGGGGTCTGGGTCCACCCCGCAGAGGGGATGTCAGAATCAGGGTCTGGATCCAGCCCTCCTGGATCCAGCAACTTCAGAAGCGGAGTCTGGATCCGCGCCACTCCAGCAACCTCAGAACCAGGGAATGAGTTGGATCCCAACTGCTCGGATCCAGTCACTCCAGAACCAGGTGGGAGCCGCCAGGACTCGGTGAGTTCAGAACCAGGGTCTGGCTGGAGGATCCGGACGCCCAGCCCCTCCGAACGTGTCTGTCGCTAACTGGGTCGCTCTGGGCTACCGGCCGTGGGCGCTGCAGACAGCTCAGTGCTGCCCCGAGCCCCCTTGCCCAGAATGAGTAGCCCAGCAGCAATGACCTCACAATACGGCTGCAAGATTCTCATTGGCCCATTCCAGCCAGAGCCTGGTGATGTCACAGTGAGTGATGTCATCACTGCACCGTGATGTCACAGTGAGTGATGTCACCATGAGGTCTGGAGCCCAGAGAGAGTGATGGAGTCATCAGTTAAAGAGTGGTTAGAGTGGAGGGTGGAGGGGGCTGGGAGCCAGGACTCCTGGGTTCTCTCCTCAGCTCTGGGAGGGGAGAGGGGTCTAGTGGTAAGAGCAGGGGGGGACTGGGAGCCAGGACTCCTGGGTTCTGGCTCTGGGAGGGGAGTGGAGTCTAGTGGTTAGAGGAGGGGGGCTGGGAGCCAGGACTCCTGGGTTCTATTCCCATCTCAGCCCCTAATACTGTCACAAACACATTGCGGGATCTAGGGGTCTGGTCCCTTCCCCATGCTCTGCTGCAGGATTCCCCTTCTGCAGCATGGGGGTGCTGACCCCTCCCCAGTAGGGGGCTCACCAGGGGGCACTCTCCCTTCTGCAAAGCACAAAGGGGTGGTATATCACCCCCAACACACACACACCCGCCAGCACCCACGATGCCCCGCATCTTGGCACCCGCCGTATGATCCGCGCATCCCAACACTGCTTAAACCGAGAGCTTTTCTCTCCACTCGTGAACTGAGTTCAGTACGTTCTCAGCCTCGCTGCCCAGCCGGCCGGGTCCGTCCCCCTCACACAACCCCCCCACCCCCACCCCATTGACACCCAATTGCAGAGACCAAGGCCCGGTGCTGAGATGTGGCCTCTCTGGGGTGGGGAGCAGGGGCTGGTTGTACGGGGACCCCTCAGCTGGCGTGGAGAAGGCCCCACAGGGCTGGGACAAGACGGGAGATGCTAAAGGAAACCCCCTGGTGCTGCAGAGAGCGGGGGGCCCAGGCGGGAGTGCTCTCCCCTCCCATTCATCCCTGATGCCCCCCTCACCTGTAGCTCCCCGTTATCACCGTGTCCCCATCGATCAGCAGGAATTTCTCCTTCAGGGTCCCAGTGACCTGTTTGTGCTGTCGGCTCCAGAAGGTGCAGCCCGCAATGACCCGGACCCGCAGGTTCTGGGTGGGGGGGGAGGATGCACAAAATCAGAAGCTGGGGCCAAAGCAACATTTGGGGGATCCCCACCCCCAGGGCAGATAACCAAAGCCAGAGGGGGTTGGGGTCCCTGAGCGTAGTCGAACACCCCCCAGATCTCCGTATCCCAGTCACAGAGCAGGTCCCCCCGCTTTTCTCCCTTTGCAGTCCCTTCCCCTCTAGGGGGCCAGTAGGGGGGCGCCCTCCCCTGGCAGTCAGGGCTCGTCCCATTGCCCCAGGGCAGCACTAGGGGGCGCTGGGCTGCAGGGGGCCAGGCCTCACCTCCATGTAGCGCACGTTGAGGCAGGCGCCCTCTGCCATGCTGAGGAAGGCGGCCAGGTGCTGCTCCCCCAGGATCAGGTACACGGGGACCCCGCGCTGCATGCCGGCCTCGTGCAGATCCAGCAGGATATCGGGGTCCGTGAAGACGTCCATCACTATGGCAACCACCTGGGAAACACCCCACAAAGAGCTGCTGCACACATCCCGTCTAGGGGGCGCCGGCTCCCATCCGGCCCCAGGGCAGAGACCGGCCGGCTCGGGTGTGGGGGGGGGGGAGGAGACTGAGCAGGGTAGGTTGGGCTCCCAGCACTCGGTATCATTCCTCTGGGACTCCCGACAACAGGTCTAACCCCACTCCCCTCCCAGAGCCGGGGAGAGAACCCAGGGGTCCTGGCTCCCAGCCTCCCTGCTCTAACCACTAGACCCCACTCCCCTCCCAGAGCCAGGGATAGAACCCAGGAGTCCTGGCCACCAGCCCCTGCTGCTCTAACCACTAGACCCCACTCCCCTCCCAGAGCCAGGGATAGAACCCAGGAGTCCTGGCTCCCAGCCCCTGCTGCTCTAACCACTAGACCCCACTCCTCTACCGGAGCAGAGGATGGAACCCAGGCGTCCTGGCTCCCTGTTACCTTGGCAGCCTGCTGAATTTTCCGGCGCACCAGCTCCTTGACCTTGGGGGCCCCGTCCCCCGGCGGGTGTGTGTAGACCTCCGCATGGGTGATGCCCTTCCAGTTCCCAGCCAGGGGCCAGCCCAGCTCCAGTTCGGGGATGGGCTCGTCCGAGCACCCGGGCCAGTAGCTGAGGCTGAGCTCATCGGCATCCCCGTCCCGCTCCCCCGCTGGCTCTGGGACATCCCGGGCCGCCTCGGCCAGGTGCCGGAGCTCGTCGTCGGACAGGAAGGAGCGCAGCCCGTCCTGCGCCAGGCGCTGCGTGTAGGCCGACTGCCCTCCGGCCAGCAGGGCCTCCACAGCCAGCCGCTGCCCTTCCGAGTAGAAGAATTCGGGGCTGGATTCAGTCACCGTGGTACCTGGGGGGGCGTCCTCCAGGCAGTCCAGCTGGGAGGCCGCCATGAGCCCCGTGGCGAGTGGTGCTGGGGTTGGGGGGCACCCCCCCAACACACACACACACACACAATCAGTGAGACAGACAAAATAGATACACAGACACCTCCCCAACACACCCTGCTCTCTGCCAACCAACCTGGCCACCAGGTCAGATGGTCAGTCCTCTCTCTCTGCGCCAGGCGCTGCCCAGACACAAAGTCACCGAGATCGGGGCCCCATCGGGCCGGGCACTGCCAGACACAGAATCACTGAGATCAGGGCCCCATCGAGCCAGGCGCTGCCCAGACACAGAGTCGCCGAGTTCAGGGCCCCGTCGGGCCGGGCGCTGCCCAGACAGAGCTGACAGTCGTCAGTCCTTCCCGTCCCCTGTCCAAAGCATGGCGCCTAATCCCTGTTCGGTTCGCCGCAAGCCCCCACGCGCAGCACCCTGCACCTCCGATGGTGCAGTCCTAGGAGGTAGCGACATCTGTAGGGAAACACCCCCACACCAAGGGGTGTCTCTGTCCTGGGGCACCTCACAGCTGGTCCCCACCCCTGTCTGGCCTGGGGGGCAGACGTGAGGCTGGGCTAGGGGTCAGAGGGACAGCTTCAGACTGGGGAGACCCGAGTTCAAGGTCCTGCTGCGCTATGGCCCTGGTCTCTCTGTGCCTCAGTTTCCCCAGATACCACAGTGAGGAGTATCTAAAACAGACGGGTGCCTCTGTCATGCTGGCACAGACCTCTCCTGGGCCAATCAGCACCTGTGAGTGCCCCCGGGACCCAGCCCTCGGCAATCGGGTTCCTGCCCTGGGGGGCTCCACCGGTCGAAGGCCCTAGAGGGAGGGAGACAAGGCTTCAGGGCAAGATCCCAGCTTTGGGGAAGAGAGACACACCCCACCGCCCTGGTCACGGCTGGGCGCTGCAGCGGAAGGTGCGATAAGATTAGATTCAAAGGGTGTGTTTTTGGTTTCCCACCTCCATTTCTGTGAGTTATAGGGCTATGGGCTGGACAGGGCATGAGGTGCAATGGTTAGAGCGGGGGGAGGGGGGGGGCTAGAAGCCAGGACGCCTGGGTTCTCTCCCTGGCTCTGGGAGGGGAGTGGGGGCTAGTGGTTAGAGAAGGAGGGCGCTGGGAAACAGGACGCCTGGGTTCTCTCCCTGGCTCTGGGAGGGGAGTGGGGGTCCAGTGGTTCGAGCCGGGGGGCTGGGGTTCTATCATAGACCATAGACTCTCCCCTTCCTGCCCCCCAGACTCCCAACAAGGAAAAACCTAATCACCAGGGCATAGTTTCCTGCAAACAAACAGAACCAGCCCTGCCAGGGATTAATCTCGTAAAATCGAGGAATGGGGAAGAGCAGCAAGAAAGACCCATAATGGGGCCCAGGCCCCCATTCCCCGCCAAGAACCAAGTCCTGGCTCCCAGTCCCCCCGCTCTAACCCCCAGCCCCCACTCCCCTCCTAGACCCGGGGAGAGAACCCAGGAGTCCTGGCTCCCAGCCCCCCTGCTCTAACCACTGCAACCCACACCTACCTGCCCCAGGGATCCGGGTTCATATCCTCCGCCCGGGGCTCTGTCCTGTCCCTGTTAATGATTCCCCAGGCTGCGCTCCTCCCCCTGGGCTCCGCCGGCCCCGCCCCCCGGCCCCCCAGGCAGGCCTTGGAGCTGGGCCCAGGTGTTCCTTGGAAGTTAAAGGGGAAGGCGGCTGGGCCCTCACCCTGCCCGCTGAGCAAACAGGGCGGGCGCGGGGATGACACCCAGGCAGCGGGTGACAAATGGGGCCGGGGGCACTTCACCTTGGGGTGGCACCAAATAATCACCCCTGAGTTGGCAGCGGAGGTCCTCCAGGGCTGTGCAAAGGAGGCCAGGAAAGAGTCAAAAGGGAACCCAGGCCTCCTGGCTCCCAACCCTCCCCCGGCTCTAACCACTAGCCTCCACTCCCCTCCCAGAGCCAGGGAGAGAACCCAGGAGTCCTGGCTCCCAGCCCCCCTGCTCTAACCACTAGCCCCCACTCCACTCCCAGAGCAGGGGATGCAGGGCCTAGCCCTGGCCAAACCCCTCCATGTGTATCTATGGGGCAGGGGGTGTTCAGGGCCGGACTGCTGGATCTGGAGGTTTGCTCTGGGGCTAACCGGTCCGTCACCCCCCCATCCCACTGGGGCGGGGGGCAGCATCTGCCTGGCAGCCCCTGGCACCGAGCCACCGCCGGCAGCATCCCGGATCTGGGCGGGAGCCAGGTGCAGGGCCTGGCAGCCAGATGGTTGTTACCAGAATCCCCAGGCCCCAGCGCCAAGATAACACGAACCTGCCGGACCGGTTGGGCTGCCATGGGATCCTGCAACCCCCGAGCCTGCCCCCCC